AAATCATCTCCGTTCAAAATCGTTTTTCGTATACAATGATACCTATCATTGCTTTCAAATTTAATCCCATCCATTACAGTAACCTACTGTACAGCAGAGCGACATCCACGATTTACCCACTTTTTTTTTTTTTAATACCATATTTATATATAAGGATATCTTTTTCATGACCCTATTAAAATAAAGCAAAATATTAAATATTATTTTGAAATGGAGTGATTAATAACTTTTAACTTTTCCTTCTATAATCAAAATAAACTTGGATATTTAAAATTTATAAAATACTGTTATTTTAAATGTATAATATAGCACATTGATCACACGATATGACATATGTATATTGTATTTAATATATATTATAGTAGGTATATAAAATAATTATAATTGCTCAATATTATAATATTATAATATAATAGTATACCTATAATATACATTAATTATTTCGTAACTAATTATTTGTTTACTGCATAAGTTGGGATTCATATTAGCATACTAATTTTATATATTTGTAGTTCACTTTTAAGTATCATTAATTTTGTTTTTTTTTTTAATTGCCTTTATATGTGATTAATAGTATTTATAAATATAATAAATAAATGGTTTTTTAATAATATCTACGAGAATATATTAATTGCTGTATCTCCATTGCGATAAAGTTTTGATCAAGTTCTAATAATGTGAAATAGAAGCAGAACTACTAGATTCGCCGATCAATCAATTTCTTTGATTTGGTATTATTAAGTTGACTATGGATAATAAGTTTAAGAAAAAATGTACAGTAAGTAATGAGCCATTTTTTAATATATATCCGCCATCCAGAAGAGAGTTCTTTAGTTTCAATGTCATTGTTTCATTTTTCACAGCGTTTCTTTGGATGTGGTTGATTTCTTTTTGTTTCTTGAGTTGATTTTGCTTCAATTAATTGTTGAAATTGAAATTGAAATTAATCATTATTTATTTATTATTCATTTAAAATTATGAAAATCTAATTCAACGATATTAMATGTATCTATCATTGTGTTGAAAAATCTTAATATTTTTTTAGTCAAAAGGTCAAAAAAAGTACTTAAAAACTTAATATCTGTTAATTAACTTCTGAATTGTTCTTCTTATTATACTTAAAAACGTAATTATATTTAAATCTAATTTAGGAGCCATATGAATTTCAATTTCACTTAGGTTTTTTAAAAATATTTAAATGATTATATTTTCAATTTTCTTTATTATTACGATTAAATACTATACTCAAATCATAGTTCAAAGTATTTTATTAAACTGAATATGAAATCTAAGATTTCCCAGTACCTTATAATTTTAAGAGTTCAATTTGAGCTTAAACAAAATTCAGTAAGGACATTAAATTGTACTGTAAATTTTAATCAGTTAATTCCATGTAACTATTTTGATTACAGCTCAATAGCAATCGAATTTCATGTAAATAATCTACACGCCACTCCAAATGATCTTTATGATTATCTTTAGTAAACCAGTGAATATTATTATATATTTTATTATTATGTCAATATTTTATTTAAGGCATTTAATATGTTACCATGGTCAATTTTTATAAATACTTGAAATTCAAAATGTAATACTACATAACATTTGTAATTTCGGCAAATCAAACCGAAATTTTACAATAATTGTATATCTTTATATACCTATATAATTCTACTATATGTGTGTATGTCACTAAATTCCTCCTAAACGGCTGGACCGATCTGAATTAATTTTTTGTATGCGTTTGGGTGACGACCTGGATGATTTAGATTCACAAATCATCCCGACAGGAAACCACAAATGTTCAGCTTAAACAGACATTTTGAGATTTACGATAGAAATTGTTGATTATAGGTGGTTTCTATTAATGATAGTTGTTATTAGTGATGGTTGCTATTAGTGTGAAAGAAATTACTATCGCTAAATTTGTTAGTATTTATTTTTATGGCACGTGCATCTATGGTATTACAAGTTTTTATTGATATTTTGTATTTGTTGTTATAATAACGCCATTTCTATGCAGTTATGCCTCCCAAAAAAATATCGATTTGTAGTTCTACGTCTCAAACACAAAAGAAAATGGTAATACGAGCTTCAGAAACAATTGAGCAAAGAGATGCAAGATTGGAAACCGATATGTAATATATGAGTGTATAGGTCGTACATCTACAAAATGATGCATTAGCCGATTTCGCAAAACATTTGGAGGAAATGGAGAATGTTAAACTAGCTATCGATGAATCAACACAATGTATCACATTMCMAACTAATTTATATAAAATAAAAGCAACAACCAATGAGTTAATTGACAACGTTTTCCCAAACCTACCACAAAATTACGGAAATCGTCAGTGGCTCATTATATTATAGCATGAGCTATTTTGGTTTAAATACCTACAATCAATAACACCATTCTAAACGAAATTCCAGGTGACACAATGACGTACCAGTCAATCGATACCGTAATAATAAATCAAGACGAAGTTGTCAATTATTCAACTGAATTCTTAAATTCACTTGATTCGCCAGACATGCCACCGTACGTTCTAACATTGAAATTTGGCGTGTCCATCATTCTTCTACGAAACATCAATCCACCACGACTATGCAAAGGTACCTGGCTTTCAATGAAAAAGTTGATGTATGAACAGCATTTTAAACGGAAAGTTTAAAGGTGAAGATGTACTGTTGCCAGTTTGCCACGCAACCCAATGATTTCAAAATATATTATGCCTTTTGAATTCAAACTTTTTCAGTTTCCGGTGCGACTCACCTTTGCAATGACCATCAACAAAGCACAAGGACAATCTCTATAAAAGTATGGACTGAATTTGGAAAATCTATGCTTCTCACACGGACAGCTGTAAGTGGTATACTCTGAACGCGTCAGAAAATCTTCAGATGTATTCATGTTCATAAGGAAGAACAAATAATATTGTGTGACCAAATGCATTTCAATAAATATCATTTAATTAAATACTTGAACTGTCAGAATTTTCTCGATGAAATGAATAAAATTACATAATCATATAAATATATAACTAAATTGATTATCAGTGTAAGATTGTTAGTTAGTATATTTCAAATGAGTATATGAATATATGATCACAGGTAACGAATTTAAGTCACAGTTTGAGATATTTAAGAGGTAGGTATTTTAACGAGCTACGAAGTGCACGGGTTGAACTAGTTTTTATATAAATGAAGATCATGGTATTTTAGTAGGTAAAATATTATGTTCTAGATTATTTAATTGGTAGCTTTCACATAATAAAGCTATAGTTTTCCATTATCTTAATTTGATTTTATTGGATAGCAGTTTTTCGACAGGTGTGTAATTGAAAATTGTATGGTATATATAGCATAATGTGATCACTGATCAATATTAAATTTAATAAGCACACAGAAACTTCTAATTGATACAACCTTCATCAACTTATATCTCGTCACACTGAAATCATCACATCATAATAATGTATACACATATATCATTGGTGATGTGATTGCATATTTCATTTAAATACATAAAAACTATTTGAATATGTATGAGTTATGATATTTTTAAATTCCAATTCCAATCGTGTGTATGAAATATATCAAATAGAAATTTATAGCACGATATAAAATGAATGATTCAGTATTTTATAGCTATTACATTAACATCGATCATCGCTTTAGTACACCAGTTTAGTAAATTGTAGATTTAAACGAATAATTTACAATGTATATACCTAATAACCTATATATCAATAATACCACACCATGTCATAATATATAATAATTTAATAATATTTATAATATATGTCATTTAGTTGCATAGTTATGCCTATTTCTGTAAAGGATGACTTATTATAGTAGTTATATTAGTTTATAATAAAAGTACGTACTATGTTAACCAATATTCATGCATCTGCGGGCCGGTTATGTTGGGTAGAACACCAAAAACAATTGTATTCTATCTCGTTATTTCCAAATTTCCCACGAGACTTAAAAACCAAAATATAATAAAGTATTATCAATTTGTACTTGAATAATAAATAACATGAACGTTTCACGAAATATAAACGAAAATAAAATGCTGTTGGATAGGTATAGACGGTATAGTATATAATATTTACAAACAAAATAATCTTAGGTAATTATAATAAATAATGGTATCGTGCATTTAAACCGATTATCAAATGTAGACATTTTTACAGGCTGAATAAATCGTGCTTATAATAATATGGGAAAAGCTTTTATACGATAGTTTTTATGGCTACGGGATATTTYTTAAGTACCACAGCATAATAATAATTTAAGTATGCGAATCCAATGAAAGTTAACCTACTTTAAAGTTCAAAAATCTGAACTTGAATCTTTAATGTATTATAAATTAAAAGATAAAACGTGTAGAGGTAAGTGTGTTTGGTCTTTCACTTTGTAAACATACGTAAGTACATTACACGCGATTACGAGTTCTCTCGCAGACTATTACACAGCTATATATTACCGAAAAAGGTTGTAAGATAAGTTTTTTTCTTATCCCATGCGCACGCGACAAAAGTATAATCTCTTAGGAGAAAGGGGGCACGCGATTTCGACGGGGTGGGCACGGGTGTATGCGTGCACGACACACACACTTTAACTATCGTGTCGAACGAACATCAGCCAGGATGTGCCACCCGTTTCCTCTCCGCCATCTGGGTGTACACCCAACGAAAAATATCGTGCGCGCGAGTTCGGTGGAGTAATGTTTTTGAAAGTAGCCGCTAGTCGTGTACTATTATTATTATTATTATTATTACCACGGTCGACAGTAGTTTGCGTACCACGCTTCAAACCGTACACACGCGCGTCTCGGTCCTGATCCAGCGGTGTTCCGGACTCACAGACGTCGCCTCTTCCACCTCAGATATAAATACATTATTACATATAATATATGTACACGGGTGAGTTGCCTGCTTGATAGTATTCACATAATTATAATTCACCGATTGGTGTTGTATTAGTAATATAATTATCATAATATGATATATGAATAATAAAATGATATTTCTATGTTGTTATATTTTATTAATATTATTTACCATTTCTAACAAAATTATCTACGAATACGGGTGAAAGTGTAATGTTTTTTCCTATTACGAACAATTTTCTTACCTTTTTAGAAAATACTATAGCTGATTTATTATTAATACCATCATACGCTAATGTAATTTTAAATTTTCTTTTTTTTATTATTATTATCATGTCTTAAAAATTAATATAGATTATAAAAAAAATTTATTTTAAATGTTATCTGATATTAATTATTGACTTAAAGTACCTACTAAATGGTACAATCTTATAACATTCCAGTTAATTTAATTACAGCAATAAATATAACTATGTAAAACTATTATATAAGACATAAATGAATGTATATGGAACTATGAKTTTTGTATCAATTATCAACTATTATCTAAATTTAGGTAAAATAAAAATAAAAGTGTAATTGATGAATGATTACAGACAGGCCAGTTAAAAATGTCGAATAGGTACTATTGGTACTAATATCCATACTTATGAATTATTATGTAAAATATTTAGAACAATTTATGCAATGTAAAATGGACAGTTGATAATCATTATTTAAATTGTATACTTGTTGATATTATTATTCCAAAGAAAAATTATAAATACATTATTTGTCATATAGCACAATATCATTACTACATGTTTACACAATATTTTTTATACTAGAAGATTAATATTCATTAARTCATAATAATAATAATATCAAACACWACGGTTTCATCTGTATGAATAAGTCATAATTAATGTGAGTAATACTAAGATTTAGGTACAAATGGTACAATGGTATATTTTAACCTATATTTTTATTACGTTTTAAATAACAGTTGACTCAAATTATAATTTACTTACCAATAAAATAAAGTATTTTAAACATGTCATTCTATTATTTTATAGCAAGTTGGAAATAAAATGTATTATCGAATTTCTGATTATCATATTAGTTAAWTTATTGTGAATTTTAAGATATAGGTTTTTTTTTTTAAATGAACCTCAACAACAAAGGTTATTGGCCTTAAGCATTAATATTTTTTTACACAAGAATGGAGCTTAACAATAATATATACATAACAATAATAATAGTATTAAAAAAAAAAGGATTGAAATATATCTAGCTAAATTAGTTGGTAAAGTTTAGTTTGTTTTAAATAATTAATTAATTTTTCAATGTTGATTGGCTGAGGACTTAGAGCTTCKTCCTGGTTGTCTTCTATGTTGAACTTAGCTCTGATGTCGGTGAAACTTCCACGGTTGAACATCTAATACAGATGTTCAACCATGGAAGTTTCACCGCAAGTTTGACATTGGTCAGGTTCGGATCTGTTCATAAGGTGTTTATGAGTCTTCCATGTGTGACCTATCCGATATAGGTATTGTTTTGGGGCAAAACAAAATAATTAGAAATCCATAGGCAAGCAAATTCACGAATTAAAATAGTTTCGACAACTTCTTAAACATGAATCACAAATATACTATCTATAWWTTATATTAAGTCCAAAATTCATATAACATGGTGGTTTATCAAAAGAAAAAGTAGCTTTTACAAATTTTGTGATTTCAATTATTAATATTTAATACTATTATTACTATGCAATAACATTTATTAAAAAGATCAGGTATTCTTGCAATTAAAATCAAAAATTATTCAGAAAACAAAATAAAACTCTTAAGTATAATTTAAATGTTATTAAGAACATTAAAACCTCATYCATTTGAGACATTAAATTAAAATAAACTCAAACCGTTTCTGAATTTATGTCATTAAAATGATTTAGATTCAATTTCATAAATTAATAATTACATTAAATATACACAACAAAAAGAAAATTATTATTTTTAATTTTTTTATCTCATTCGTTAGTATTTGTCTTTAATTAAGTTTATCCTAGTTAACATTTACTATAACGATATTTTACTAAGTTAAATATCCTGAATAAATTTCACTCCTGTTAAAAAATTTGAATTGCAAATTTTTACCARTTTTTAATTATAATGATTAATGAAAAAACATATGTTCAGTAATTATGCAGTTAACATTTTAACAAAAATAATATTTTATCAGTGGATATTTATCAAAAGATGAAAATCAAATAAAAACTAAATATTATAGTAATTTATGTAATATTTTTTTAGTCAGATAATAATATAGAAGAGTATGTAGGAAACAATATTATATTATACACAACAGTACAACACTGTATATTTTAACTAAACGAACAGTTTAAACTTTGAGTTACTTTTCTAAGAATTTTATCATAAAAGGAATAATATTTTACGCTCCATCAAAATAATATGAAGTMCATAATCACTGATASGTTTACCGGAGTAGTGGCCACAGAAACAACAACTTCCGTCAATTAATTAATCAAAAAATGCAAAATTTATTATACTATAATTGCAAAAGATAGGAGAATATTATCTCATCTATACGACTTTTTCTTCTTTACCTTTGCTTCAAAAATAAAAAATTAATCGCTTCCACTTTGTGTTTCTTTTAAGTTTTTGTTTAAAATAAAATATACACATTATTAAAAACAATACCACAAATAAATAAATAAATATTTATTTTATACTTATTACATTAAT